AAATATAATTATCATAATAATTAAAGATATATCATAATAATCATTAATACAAACATATTCATCATGATTGTCATCATCATCTCTATATGTTTAAAATATCCTAATTAAACATCATTAAAAATATAAAAAATATATAAATATATATTGTGATAATTACTAATAATGCCGAAGATCCATAAACATAAATATCATAATAATTACTAATAATACTAAAAATGTATCGGAATAATTAATATTATTCAAAATGTATCATAATAACTATCAATGCAAATATATTCATCATAAGTATTATCATTATCTCTTTTTTCTATACGTTAAATATATTATTAAACAACATTAAAAAATATAAATATATATAAAATTATCGTAATAATTATTTACTAATAATACTAAAAATACATAAATATAATTATCATAATAATTTATAATAAAAATAAAAATATATCATAATAATTACTAGTAATGTTAAATATACATTATAATTATCATTTCGATTTCAAATACAAAAAATACATAAATACAATTATCATAAAAATTGTTAATAATAAAAATATATAATAATAATAAATTCGATTATCATAAAACATCATTATTATTCTTATCATCATCATAATACGAAAGTCATCATCATTCTTATCATTTATCATAATACGAAAGTTATCACCACTCTTATTCTTATTCTTATGATAATCAACATCTCTTTCTTCTATATGTTTCAAGTGTCCCGTTAGGCACCTATTATACCAATTGAGCCGGGGAGTTTATTTCATTATAAGATATGGACGTTGAAGTCCGTCATGCAGCTCATGAAATTTTCGCGGTTCCACGTGGAACGACCTTGATTTTTGCGCATTTGGTCTACGTGATCCTGATACCAAGCTTGGAATCGGCAAAAAACCGCCAAGGTAGCCGAACAGCGGCCTCGCGACACAGTCCGAAACCGCAAGCGCGGGCGAACCGATTTATAGGGGAAAAGTTCATATTGGTTTATTTTGTTCGAGGTTGGATTGTTGGTGTTGTGACTCAGGTGGTCTGCTGCGCAACTCATCCTCTGAGGATGGGGGTGAAAGTAATGGTCTTGTCAAGGAAGATGTTGGAAGATAAGCCAAAAGCTGCTGGCTGGCATCTTTGCCAAGCTTCACCACTCACTTTCGGGTGGCTGGCAAGGCGATGCCACAAGAACAGCTTGGCTGTCAGCCATACCCGGCAGCACATATAAATCATATGTGCACCGAACATGGCCAGCAAGCGTCTTCAAGACGCTGCATCAATCTCTGTTCCTTAGAGGATGTATTTGGGCCAGTTAAATTATTTCGGATGTACCCTTGAAGGAACCCCTGGTTCTGCCAAGTTGAAACGTTCGGTGCACAGTGAGGCGAATGCAGCTGTATCCAGCATCCCGGGAAATGGCCACTGATACAAGGCCAATAGAATCAGGCGCATCCAAAACGATAAGGACACGACCTATCAGGGGGCGCACAAAATCCACGTCGCACCAGTTTGGTAAGTGGTTTATCCCGTTGACACGGGGTCATCCAACTGCTGCGAAGCGGAGTTTGTCCACCCAGAGAATTGTTGGGGTCTCCGATTTTAGGAAACACCCACGGCGGGCTTCGGCTCAAGCGGCTCGGGGGGCTTCCCGGGCCTCGCGGTGTCCGGCAAATCGATGGCCAAGTCCTGGTATGGACGCAAATCCGATCCGAATTGTGACAGAACCATCCATGTCCGAAAGTTACACGATATCTGCCGCGTGCGCAGATCGTCCGTTTCACTCAGTGACTTTTGGTTCCGAGATGGTTGTGATGCTTTTGTTTGGCCTCACTACAATCCTTGTTCCCCCAAATTGTAGCACCCCTCCCACATTGGTCAAGCCGGGTTTGGGGCACTGCTCAGCTTGAATTCGAGGGAAGCCAAAAGGAAAGACGTCCCATTCTGAGTTAGAGGCAAAATCATTTGCTCCTCAAAGGACGTGGGAAAATTGGGGCCGCGTCTCAACCCCGTGGTGTTTGTGCTTGAAATTCGGGATCTCGTCCTCCCAACATGTTCATAGACTGCCAGTAGTTGCGTGAATTGCTCAGCGCCTTTGTTTTGTTTCCGTTCGGGTCCCGAAAGTGGACAAGTTCTGCCAGATCCGTGTGCCAGTTCCAAGCAGGCATTTCAGTTGGACATTCTGTCTCGCCTGCATTTTTGCACTGTGTGTTTCTGTGCTGTGCGCAATCCCCCACAAAGCTTACCGTCAGGCGTCCCCGGTTTTGCGCCGAATCCGCCGGTCCACTCGAATGCGAAATCTCCACTCACCTCACATCTGCCCGCATGGCCTTTTGGGGAAGGGGGCATATGTCAAACCTTTGAATTTTGGTTTCCCTTTGAAGCACAGTTGTCCTAGTGATTTCCCTTCAACCTCAAAAGGGTACGGAGCCAAGCAACACAAAACTCCCCTCCCAGCCGAGATGCGAGGGCGAAGCCATCCTCACTCTTCTCTCTCTGGCGCCGTGGAAAGGCCTCCTGAGCGCCACACTCGAACATGAGGTTTTGAGGTGTTCCTGATGTTTAAAGTTTGATGTTTTTGCGTACCACCACTGATCCAAGACAACAAATACAGGCTCAACATGGCTGTGGATAATCTTTCAAACCAACCACAAAAGGGTACCAATATTTTCTATAAAGGACATATTCAAGTAGACCCACAATCGAAACCCGCGTAAAAGAAGGGTGGTAAGGGAAAGTCCTAACCTAAGTATGTGCCGCAAGAAACACTTTGATTGATTTGCGAGGTCTTGGATACACTCCTCTAATACCAGGCCTTGATCATGCCTCAAAAGTGTTGCCTTTCACAAAAAGCTGGCCCCCTTTCTAGGTCCTGACTACTTTGAAAGGAACGGAATCCTCCGCGGTTCTGGAAGGCCCTTATTTTGTCAGTACAAGTGGTCTCCTATCAGCCGATGGCTTCTGTCAGCAGGATGCAAAGGCATGCTCCAACGCAGTACTATGAGTCCCAGAGCTGCAAGACGGAGAGCTCCTTTGTTTTGATCCAAACAGGGCCCGTCTTCAGTCACCCTAACATCACTACCAAGGGAAACTCATCCTGGCACCTAAAAGGTGATGTTTAAAACCCTGCAAAGGGAAATAGAGCCGGACTCTCAGCACCATTTCCCTCCCTTCTCTCCCCCATCTGTGAACTCGGCCTATTGGCGCAAGCACCAGATCTTTGCTAGTGTCCAGTGAGTTGATAGAGTGGTCCTGTGTGGGTGTGTGTGTGTGTGTTCCGTATCACTTGGAGCACTTTATGCTACAGAAGGTGCGTGCAACTCACTGACGACCGTGTTGAGCTGAAACAGCCTACACACCTGCTTGTGACAAAACAGGTGCACCGGTGTGAATTGCAGGCAATGCTGCGCACTATTCTGCTTTGGACCCTCGTCGTTGAGCTTGTTCATCTCACAGCTCGTATTTGGTCGCGGACCAAAGGCTCATAGCCAGCGATCTAGATTGAACTTGGGCAACTTCAATATCGGCTGAAGCTTGAACATTGGGCAAATCTACAGCATTTCTTTGTGTGACTTATCCCGACCACAACTTGAGCATTGATCTGTTGGCATGAGAGTGCAACCTATCTGGTGTGGGAGGTGGGGAAATGATGATTGCATCATTGGCTGATTACGTCCTCGCTTTGTGGGAAACTTGGCCATCCATGGCCTGCTCATTTCGGCGTTTCTCAAAATCGGTGTCGCCTAGAACGGATGGCTTCCTCTTGGCTTCCCTTCAACTATCAAAGGGATGCAGCATTTCAGAAACCCCAAAAATTGCTTCCTGAAAGCCATGAGATCCGGTGCACGGAAAAACCTGACCGAGGCGCGATGAAGCCATAGTCATGCCGGCGGTTTTCTCTCTGCCGAAAGGTGTGCATTTCGACCCCGGATTGAACCTGGCGGACTATTGCCACAAGAGTCTCTTCCAAAGAGGTCATGTTTTTTCTCTGAAATGGGACGACCAGGTGATCCAATTTGCCTCTAAACTGGACCGTGTTCCCAGCGACACCCCAAGCCTGACCCGAGCAAAACAAACACCGGTCTTCCGTATCCTCAACACACCTCAGCTTGGAGCATCATTCCGATCGACAACTTACGCAGACATGAATGGCAAGTACTCAAGACTGAGATACATGTGATTCCATGTTTGCTGTTTGCATGCGCAAGCGTTCGGGTAAGATGCTCACTATTGTTGCTGACTAGTGCGGTACGTCTGATGTTCGGCATGCACATTGTTGAGAGCAATCGCTCTTACCCACGCACCCCAGTGCCTTCGAAAACCTGCCCTTCAGCCCTTTCGTCCAGGATGAAGATCCCAAGTTGTCGGAGCAATTTTTCACTGGAAATGACAGCCACACCCCAGAGAGAGTGGCGAGAGGACCAGGCCTAGAGTAGAGTTCAAGTGACAGCTCCTAACCTCCCCCTAACCCCTTTAGCTTCATCAAAAACATGAGCCCTTAAGCAGGGTAGGTGTTTTGCTTGCGGGCGTGCAGAAACTCCTTTCTCAGCCAAAAGCAGGCTTGGGCATGGCCTTGGAGAATGCACCTCTCCATCAGCCCAACCAACCCTTGGTCTTCCCAACGCATCAGGTCAAGGGCCCATTGTTCTTGTGACTCAAAGACACTCACGTTGTGCCAGTAGCGGCCCCCCTGCAATGCTGCAATATTCGCTTGGCCCTCCCTGGTGACATGCCTGGCCCATATCCAGAAGCATCGACTCGATCATCCCCTCGGAGCTCTGAGCTCGCACAGTCCGCACCAGAGTGTTCCACGGTTTCTGCAGAGCGGAGGAATCGTTGAAGGTCGCTTGGCAATATGGGCACCCCAATATGTGGTTTTCCTTTAAGTTTCCGCTCAACCAACCTGAAAACACAGGGTCCGAAGCGCTGCCCATGCTGTGGCACTCAACTCAAAAGGTTCCAGGAGCCTTCACCAACTTGAGGACGGCACGCTTTGCCAGAGAAAAACAACGTCACACATGCCACATCCCGGGGCACCGCACGGAGGAGTCCTTCAATGCCAGCTCCGTGGCACGCAGCACGATCCGCCCCAGGCGCTCCATGGCATCTTTCACGCCGTCCTGGGCTCTCTCTCTCGGCTGTGTGAAAGCAAACAAAATAAAGAAATTACCCATTTTCTGTTGGCTTCCTGTTGGGAAAATCGAAAGTTAGCACCCCTGGCAATGGGTCTGTCTGGAATTGGGGGGGGGCCAAAACCTGAAAACCGATCTTGACGGTTTTGCCGCCGCCGTTGACCCTTTTGTTCCGGGTGCGGTCACCATCAAAGCTAGTAAAGTCCCCAAAACCTGCAAAAGAATCAAAACGGCTTCGTGCCGCGCCTATTTCTGGTTGAGACTGTCCCCAGAAAGAGGTGCGGCACAAAGCCGTCTTGATTCTTTACATGGTGTTGAGGATGACGCGTCGGGAGAAATGCCCCCTCCCCATTTGAAAGGTAACCCAAACGGCTGCCATTTGCACCCTCAATTGAGAAACACCGGATGTGTCTCCCCGCCTCACTTTGGCTCTCCAGCCGTTTGAGAGTCACCTTCTGCGAGAGCCGCGGCTGCTCCACGAAGTCTTCCTCCCTGGTGTGCCTCGGGCATTCCAATAGCATCAGGAAGTTGCACATACTGCTGCTGTGATGATCAGTGGCCAGTCAGGGGTTCGGGATATGGTCTAAGTCATTCCAGAGGGAAGGATTCGGACGAACCTCTGTCTTGATAATTGTAAGCGGGATGCTGTCTTGCTAGCTTGATCAAACATCCAAAAAGGTCCAGTCATCCAGCAACAAACCTGCACTGACATCCTGCACTAGTCAAGTACACAGCGTGTCAGCAATGTTTCAGCCCGTAAGCCACCTGAGGCGCATGTTGCGCCAAGTTGTGTCATGACCTCCTGGCCTAATGTGCATTGGCCTCGAATCCACACAATCTTTATCACCCTACAAGGAGTCAATGTTGTCTCAGCAATCAGCCACAGACGCGGAGACTGTTGGCAAACTCACAAACCTCAGATTGCTTGTGGCTGTGTTTGCTGTCGCCCTCCCTGAAATAATTATCTGCGAGCCCCACTGAAGGTGGCATTAGTCCATGTCGACATGTTCGCACTACCAGCGACAGAAAGCTTGCATTGGATATTCAACAGGGAAGTGAGGTACCATCTGAATTCTTGCGGATATCTGTCAACGGAGAGCCTCGGAAATCCATTGCGAAGGGGGCTGCGTTGCTTGCACAACTTATTCAAAGGGACACGCGCATTCTCCGTGTTGACAAAGCAGGGGGACGCTGGATGGAGAAGAAGATATTGCAGCAGTTGTAGAAGCAACAGTCGAGGTAGCAATGACATCGAGTGTGCTTTTACTAAAACAAAAGGGCTACACCAGCTAGGGTAGAAGTGGACAGTGTGCCTTCGTGTCTGATGGTCTATACATGCGAACAATCCACAGGAGACCATGTGAACAAATATGTTGGCATCTCCTATGCCTATGCCTGCCTAGCCCAAGAAGCAACTGTGTTTACCATATTCTGCGGTGCTGGCTTGAGTGTAATGGGAAACCAAAAGGGAACCCAGATTTTTGGGACCAATTCCTATTTTCAGAACCCTGTAAATCGTTTCTGCATGCCGCCCAGCTACGCTTCCTCCAGCTCCTCCAGAGGTTCTGTCACATTACGCTCCCAGGAGTCGTAGGCAGGGACTCTGCGGGAGATGAGCGGTGGCAAGCAAGAGGCTAAGTCGTCCTTGGATGGCGGCTCAGGGGCAAGCGGCAAAATAGGTTCAAATTGTGGATTTATTCGGACCCAGGACACTCAAACTACAAACAAGATCCAACAAAGGATGTGTTGCTCAGTGACTGCAAGACACGCTCGGGTTCCGCCACAGAAACGTAGTGGCACCCACCAAGAAACACACAAACCCTGAAACAGGTCAAATGATACATCGTACTGAATATAAATCGCCAGGCACGCTCCAAAGCTTTCAGCTGCTCTGTAGCAAGAGAGCGTCCCAAATGTATGATATTCATTTACATTTAGATACGTACGTGAACTTGTTATGACCAATCAAACAAATGAACAGAGAAAGGGCATACAAGGGCTCCAAGTCCCAAATAACATGCTGACGCCCTCCTGGCATGTTGCCGTGTAGCATGTGGCTCATGACTGCAGCCCCAGGAGGCCAAATAGAAACATAGAGCTGAGAAGCCCCAGGCCACGGCTTCTCAAAATGGCAACCCTTCTTTTGGGTACTTAAATGAAAACCAATGGGAAAACCAACCATTTGAGGGGGACTACAACTTTGAGAAACCCACCGTCTTTTCCATCCCAGTAGCTTTTCCTCCGCCCCGATCCAACAAATCTACACGTGGTTGAACGGCAAGTTTGCATACCCTCTACCCCAAAATCAAAAAAAAACAAAAACGCGAGGAAACAATGAGAGGGTTGTGGCAAAGTGATGCACATCGACAAAAGGGTAGTTTTCCTTTGATGCAAAATAACCTTCTTTGCAAGGGGATCCTCGAAATCAGCATCAGCTGGAAAGGCGAAATCTTTAGCTGGCCCGAATGTATCGTTTGGAGGATCTTGGGGAATGGTGAATTTTGAGAACATTGCTGCAAGCATTCCCTTTGGCCCCACAACGTTGGGTCGGTTGACAACCGCGTTGCGGGAAAGTTGCAGCATCCACTACATGTCTCCAAGCGGCAATTCGCTGGGAGACACCGTGGAACTGCCGCTGCACAAACTTCCGGAAGTCTTCCTGCTCCTTGATCATCCTGGATGGAAGTCCAATGTCGCTTTGTCTTGCAATGAACAAAACCTTCCAGGGGTCTGAAGTGCTGACAAAGTCCCATTGGTTTTGGCACTCCGATAGCAAGCGGTCGAAAAGGTTTTGACTGATATGGACACCTACCAGCTTGCTGGGGCAAGGTAGAAAACTGATAGGGTCCGGAGGGGTAGCATACCCACAACAAGATTCCGTCAGAAGGAAACATGGAGAAAGCCGGCCAAATTTCACGGCATGCGCACCGACGTCAGCAAAATATGCCAAGAAAGAGCCAAGTAGCTCATCCTGCTGATGCATGGTACGCATCATGTTGTACTTGATGAAACCTCAAATGCACATCTGAAAACCCAAGAATGAATTGAAAAATAACAAAGAACAATCTCCAGCGCTGAAATTAGCCATCCCCTAAAAGAGGACGAATGAGCTCGTTTTGTCCCAGGTGCTCCCATCTGGAAGCTGCAAAGCTGGAAATGTGGCTGTATTCAAGGAAATGTCAACCTCCTTCCAACCAACATGGAACCCACCAAGGAATCTTTTTAGTCGGTTCATGGCCGGTTCATGGCCGGTTCCATGTTGGTGGGTGAAGTCAGGAATGGAAGGAACAGCTTCGCTCATGAGATGCACGGTGGAATTAAGTGGCCTGGACACTCCAACAGCCCATGATATGCAGGGTGGTCAAGTGACCAGCCCTGCCACGAACCGGGCCATTCGAAGATTTGCCGCCAAAGGTGCGAGGAGCGGTCTTGGAGTCGTGCACCCAGCGGCTCAGCGGTCTGATGAACTCCGGGGCTTCGATGAAGCCAGAGCAATCAGTATCGATCATCTCGAAGAGCTGATGCAAATCTATCTGGGCCACGCGCAACATTCTACGTTGACCCTATTTGACAAGGGCAACTGTGACAAGCTTATTTTTCTAATCCAGTGACAAGTGTAATCAAAGGAAGTTTAGAAGGAACTTTCGTGGTACGGCAACTAATGAATTGAAAGCTAGCTCTCTGAGACAAATGACACGAGAAGAAGGAACAAACATGCGCTTCTGTTGAGATCTGCTCGCAGGCGCAGCCACTTCGAAAAAGGTAAGTAAAGATTTCGTGGCAGGCGCAGCACTTGCGCAAAGTCAGGTGCAGATCTTGTGGCAGGGCAGATCGTTAGATAGATAGATAGATAGATAGATAGATAGATGGATGGATAGATAGATAGATAGGGATGGAAAGATATGTAGAAGCTAGATAAAGAGAGACAAGTACGATGAAGACAATATTTAGGAAGATATGTAAATGAGCCAGATAGTTGGATACATAGGTGGATAGATAGCTAGATAGATAGATCAACAGATTCATTGACAAATAAATAGATACATAGATGAATAGAGAGGTACACACTTGGCTACACAGAACATGGATTGGTTGATTGATCTGATCTGATCTGATCTGATCCGATCCGATCGATCGATCGATTGAAATTTGTTGATAGGTCAAAAGATAAAATAGGTCGATAGAGGGAAACATCTAAGGATACATAGAGGGATAGATGGATAGATAGATAGATAGATAGATAGACAGATAGATCGAGAGCGACATACTGTAAGATAGAAATCATGAGTAGATGCGCGCTTAACGCGCGCCCGCCCCGCCCGCTCGCCCTCCCGCATGCAGATAAATCGGCACAAAGATATCCAGCGAGATTCAGTAAGAAAACTGACCGCAAGCATGTGAAACCAAGACGTTCGCAAGGTGATGCACAGATTTCGTGGCAGGCGCACCACTTTTTGCAGGGTGAGGTAACCAGGTAGAGACCGGCTTCGCCGGCTCTACTGGTAAAAGGGACCCAAACCCATGGTTTTGTATCTAAAAAAGGGCTTGAACTTCAACAGGGGGCATTACGTACGCCAACCACTTGTCGGGTGGCTTCTTATTAACATTCATGGCCATCTGAGCCACAAACACAACTATTTGCAGCTGACTACTTCACAAAAGGCGATACAAAGCGCTTGGCTGTAGCGTGGACTGCTCTGGGACAAACTCTCGCAAACAGCCTATTTTCAAGGGCTAAAAAAAACTATAGCTTAATTACTCCTATCATGAGTCAGTGTTGTTGCTAGCCCGCAGCCTCGTTCCTCGTATTAGGCCTTACAGGGAACCTCCGAGTCCTCAAGCCTTGGACTTTTGCGGCCTCGTCGATATCCATGACCCGCAGCCGGCTCTGGAACTCGTGGTCTTTCCGCGCGCCCTGACCGTCTTGCGAAACGCAGCCGAAAGGGCATCCCCCAGTCCCCGCTCTGTTGCAAATAAGGAACCCCATTATATGGAACTCCAAAGGATCCCCAAGGAGACTCCTCTGTAAATTTGGGGGGTTTTGGTTGGCCGCGTGAATCTGAGTAAACAAGGGGTGCTTTGCCGGTGGACGTGGCTGGCCTTGCACCAAGCAACCGAGGTTCAAACATGACAACACCCTTCGGGTTCGTAGCTTGCAAAACTTGCCCGCAGTATGCATATGTAGGCAAGAAAGTACCTTGTGGAGAACATGTTGAGCAATAGGAATGACAAAAAACTAAACGGTTGGCTTCGAGCATTTGACACATGTTTTAACTGCAATGCTATCGAAATATCCAAAATTCAGAGCGGATAACATGCTTCTTTCGAAGTTGCGGGCTCGTGTCATACGGTGATTTAGATTCACAGCAAGGGGGCCATGGAGTAGCTTCATCGTCACTAGCATTTGGTGCCCTGTGCATCCATAAGGCTGCTTGTTACAAGTCACTTGTCTGCTTGTTTGTTCGCAGCTATGTCGAGCTGTCTGTCTGGCTTTAGAAAATGTGTTTGGGTCAAGTCTCAAAGTTAGGGGACAAAATGTGGTGCTGAGCGGTTCATCTTGGCTTCCAACCACATCCCTGTCGCTCACAAAAATGCTCCCTGTTTGATTGGGAGAGGGTCCCGTTGGGCATCCGGATCACTCTTTTGGGAAACCTCCCAAGTTTAATCCATGAGATTGAATCCAAGGTCGGCACTACCCAAATGCCCGGGTCCCATCTTGGGGCACCTTCACTGTTTGGAGGGGGGAGCCATAGTGGTGCCATGGACCCTCAAGAGTTTATCTTGCAGATTCAACCCCCCAAACCCAATACCTCCAAAGAAGGTGGTTGCAAAATAGACCCCCAGTGTCTGCGGAATGTCCCCCAAGTTTAATCAGCTCCGCCGCCTGCACCAGCTGCTCGAGAGTCAGCTGACCAGAACCATCTGAATCGATGCGGTTAAACATCTTCTCCAAAAACCTGCGGCAACTTCCCAGGAACCTCCCGCATTACTTAAGAAAAACTACCGAAAGTTTTTATCCCAAAAACATGACTGATATCCTAAGTGACATGCAATTGACATCGTCCACAAATACCCTCGTTTCTGGCGGTTTCACAAGAAACCACAGGATCTTGAGATCCCTTCAACATGTTCACTTTACGGGACAGGCTAGTCTATTCCAACATTTTATAAGGGCTGGCTGACCAGCTATGCAATTTCCCCCCCTCCCCTGCGGCGCGACCGCCAGGTTCTCCTGCAAGGGCCATGTCGATCCTTTGTGTTTTTTCTTGTTAACTCTGGCCCGCTTGGCATTCACGGAGTGAAAACCACCAAAGGGGCCAGATGAGCTAACTGCGATGTGGAGAACATCCTCCCAGTTCTGAATCATCCAAAAGCGCAGAGCCGTCCTGCTTCGGAAACTTTACGCAAACGTGGTAACTCGACAAGCCTGGCTGCTTGATTTGGCTAGTAAGCTGGAAGCAAGTTACATCACCAGAAATCTTGAGCAAACAAGCAACAAAACCTGACAGGCAAGGGCATTTGGGCACGAATTGCGGCAAAAGGCCTGCTGTGGACCAATTCTCTTCGAGCCACACGTCGGCAAACCTATGGCGCTGCCATTAGCGACTGCATACGTATCCAGTTCAACATATATCTGCTTGGCAACAGGCTGTCCCAAAGACATACAGAGCCTCCTGTCGGCGTCGACGTCCGCTTCCATCTCCTCAGCTAAGTTGAGGATATCGCGGTCGCGAGCATCAGCGAAGGTATCCACGACAACCTGAGCTTTGGCCAGCGACGAGGAAGGATATGGTACCTGCCTCCAAAGAGGTTCCTCCCCCCCTTCGCAAAACTCTTGTAAGGGCCTTGCCATGGGAAACTGGGGTGCATCAAATAGCGAAGCTCGGGGTAAGGGGCATCATGGATACCTGCTTCGCATATGCACCAATGCAGACGAGCAGCGGCGACGATCAAGTTTAGCACACCGAACACCAGTGTCAGAAGTGATCCAACGAAGATCACTGCGGTTGCTGGGTGAGTCCTTAGTAATAGAGGCTGAGCCCCACAGCCAGGAATACCCCCCCTCTCTGCCCCCCCCCCCCAACGTCGTCAGGTTCTAGGGTGGGAAGCGGTCAGATTGCTCGAGAAAGGGCTTCTCTGCCTTTCCTGAGATCCGACCCTGCCCCTACAAACCAATCACATCCTTTTCAAAACGGTCCAACCCCGGTCCAACTCCAGTCAAAGCCCCCGAGAAACTGATCAAGTCACCCCTAGAAACCGGGCAACTTCCCATCTAGAAACCAATCAAATCCGCGGTCAGTTTCCCCCTGGAAACGAGCCAAACCCCCTCTAAAACCGGCCCAACTAAAAACCGGTCCAAAACCGGCAACTCCCTCCACTGGCCCTTGAAACCATGCCAAAAACGCGCGGACATGCACCTTGAAAACCAGCTCACGGCGCCGACTCACTCACTCTAACAAACACAACACTTCAAGGCAAACTTCCACACAGTGTATGCCTCAAAGCCAGCCAAAAGCGGACTGGTCGAGGTAGGCAACGCGGAGCGCTTACAATTCGGAAAAGGTGTGCTCATGTCTCTGTGTGTGTACTCATATGCGAAGAGAGTGTGGATGTGTGTGGGTCTGCTTGTCTGTGTCTATCTCGGTCTGTCTGCGTCTGTCTCGCTGTCTGCCTCTGTCTGCCTCTGTCTGTCTCTGTCTGTCTCTGTCTGTCTCTCTCTCTCTGTCTCTCTCTTTCTTGCCCTCTCGCTCTCTCTCTCTCTCTCTCTCTCTCTCTCTCTGTCTGTCTGTCTGTCTGTCTCTGTCTGTCTGCCTGCCTCCCTGTATGTCTGTCTGTCTGTCTGTCTGTCTGTCTGTCTGTCTGTCTGTCTGTCTGTCTGTCTGTCTGTCTGTCTCGCGGTCGCGCACCGAGGTTTGCATGCAACACTGCGGGCGGGCGGGTGTCTGTAGTGGGTTGGCCTGTACATTCGTCCATTCATTTGCGCTTGCATCTCTCTGTCTGGGTGTTCCCCTTGGTGCTGAGCCAGGAGGCTTTCAAGAGGAAGCCTTTGGGCTTGTATGTGGTTCGGGTCCATGCTGGGTTTGTATCGGCGTGTCTCTGAGACCACACCTCCTCTGCTGTAGTTGTCATCGCCGCCAGGTTCCCGAGGTCCTGCCTGGTGAGCGGCCATCCGGGCCGAGCTTGCAGCACATCTGCTGGGCGACCAACCGTTCGCCTTTGGCGGCAAGTCCAGAAAAGGTGCTCCTGATCTGCCCCCTGGCAACCGCGCAGATCGAGAGCCCACGAAGGATCCCCGGCCACACGCTGAAGGGCGCTGGGCTGAAGAAGCTTTGTGTTAGGACAGCTGCTGTAGCGCCTTGTGTGCTTTGTAGCACCTCTCTGACAAGGCACACCCTGTTGCTGTTGTAGGCAACGTGCCTCAGGGCACGTGAGTCTCTCCGGTTAGCATTCGCGAAGCCGTTCCACTGCGCAGCTGCTGGGCCACCAAGTGCGGCGGCCGAGGTTCCACTCCAGGCCAAGCTGCACGTGCGACCACTTGTGCCTCACATTGGTCCACCCACAGTTGTGAAGGAACTCTCTCGCCTGCTTGGCCAAGTGGCTGGCGGCGTGCTGTGCGGGTGTCCACTGCTCGCTTACTCCACCGAAGAGCACGTTGCGCAGGTGCTTGGAGCAACCTCTGAAAGCGCTGCTTGTGCCTCTCAGGGCTTTGTTGAAGCGCCCACACTCACCCATAGGCAGCCTTGCTGACAGCCATCATGCGGGCCGTGTCGAGCTTTGTGTTGTGGTCCGTGGGCAAAAACCGTATTCGCACACCTGCTTTGCCTGCTGGAGCCTTTGCTTTTCCTTGGCGTGAAGAGGTCTGTCCTCGCCGCCAGTCGTGAAGCATCCGAGGATGCGAACCACAGTGTTCTGAAGGTTCGGCCTGCCGTTCAGCTGAGCCATCAACTGCCGCTGTTCCTCCTGGCTCCCACATGTAAACTCGTGCCAGGTGTCCATCGTGGGAGTGAGAAGCTGAGCCAAGGTGCTGCTCCACGTTCTGTCGCCCATGTAGATCACATGGGTTCTTTGCTGTGAAGTGGCCGGGCGTCTGTTGGTGACGAAGCGGTGTCAGTATGTTGAGCGCAAGAGGGCTCATCGGATCCTGCTGCGGGACGGCCACGCTGGTGCCCAGCGGGCTGGTGTAGGTGCTGGTGTTCCACTGCAGCAGACGGCGCTGATCCGCGTGTAGCACTTGTGCAAAACCACGTGGCAGCCCCAGTTTCTCCATGCCTCTTGTGACGGCCGCCGGAGTGACGTAGTTGAAGGCCAAGGAGTAGCCCAAGGTAGCGACCCACCCATCCTGCGCCACCCTAGGCTTCCGTGCCAGCGCTGCCCGACCAATCCGGCATCGCCTGCTTCAGCTGCCAAGCCGATCCGTACCACCTCTAGCACAGGCGAACAGGCTGTAGACGTTGACCGCACGGAGATCCTGTGCCTTGTGTGGCTTTGTGAGGTTAACCTGTCAGCTCCACCTCAGGGCGCGTGGCGTTGCGCCTGCCGCTCCCAGACCTGCGTCATTTCCACGAAGGCTTTGGTTGCTTGGGCAGGGAGACTTCCAAGCCCCTCAGCCGTCCATCCGTCCGGGCCTGCGGCGCCCTGCAACCTCGCCTTTGTTTTGCTGAAGTCCTGCTCGGTGGGCCTGACTTGTGCTTGCTCGTGCTGTGGCAAGTGGTCCAGCACTGCTTGGATCCTGGTGCTTCCGCCCACACTCTGCTCCAGCGCCGGTGTATGCCCTGAAGGACTGTCTGGTCGGAAGTGAGCGTGGCTCCGTCGTGTGTCACCACGGGTGTGGGCTGGTGTTCTGCTTCGCGTATCCACCTGCATCGTGCTGCTAGGTCGTGTTGCACGCTATGCCGCCATTGCTGCAAGGTGGCGAGGACAACTACAGCAGAGGAGGTGTGGTCTCAGAGACACAAAGATACAAACACAGCTTGGACTCGCGCCACAAACAAGCCCAAAGGCTTCCTCTTGAAAGCCTCCTTGCTCAGCACCAAAGCGAAAAGGCAGGCGCCTTTTCGCTTGAGGCCTCAGGCCTGATATGCTGCTGTCAGGCGCAATCCGACAACAGCTGAAAAACCGACATCCTCATCATGACTATTTGGGCAAGACGAGGAGGAGGACGGAGACGACGACTCAGAACCACCGGGGGCCGGCAGCGGGTGAGTCTCTCTTCGGTGAACGTCAGGGATGCCCCTGGCCTCTGGGACCTCTTGAAGATACTCAAGGAGGACCAACAGCTCACGGACATCCTGTGCATACAGGAGCCTTGTGTCAAACACAAAGAATTTGACACTGTGCAACGGCAACTAGCCAAGATCGGTTACGCCAGCTACTACAGCCCTGGGTGCCCTGGCGCCAAAGCCACCGGCGGGGAGAACCATACCTCACAAGGTCATTGCAGCCAAAAGGCGCACCAGCGCATGGTCTTGGACGGGATCTACATCCCACCCAGACCGGCGCTCATGGCTGAAGCGCAACAGACACTCAGAAAGCTCCTTCACCAAGCACAAGCCGCGGCCGGCAATAGGCCCTGGCTAGCAATGGGGGACTACAACACCCCCCCCAGAAGACCTGCAAGGTCTCTTCTCTCAGCGCGGCGGCACCCTTTTAAACAAGCACACCAAGTGGCAAAGCAAACGCTACATAGACCGCAAATGGCTCAACACGAGCCTACAAATGCAGTGGGAGGAAGACACACACCGGTGCACGCTACAGCGAACACACCTATGGAAACCGCCGCCGGGTAGCAACCCTGCGGAGTGGAAAGCACACGTGAGCAACACTTGTACAAAGATGGGAACACCCGAGCTTGACAGCCAACTGGCGGTGGCAAAGCAAGGGACACCCACGCAACAGCAAGTGGACAACCTTTGGGAGACCTTCAACAGCACACTACTCACTACACCGCGTTCTTCAAAGGGCGGCGCAACTACAGCAGCAATTCCGGCAGTGGCAGCAGCCAGGCGGCAAAAGCCCAGACAAACCCTACTTCGCCAAAGGTGCAATTGGGTCCCAAGTCGGCCCCGCAAGTGGTGGATCGGATCCATGTTGAATGGAAGAAAAGAAACGCTGGGTGGCCAGGGCTTCACAGCTGGTGGGGCTGATGGAGATGGCATGGAAAGATCCCCAGCAACAAGCTGAGGAAGCAAACCTGCTTAAAAAGCTTAGGCGGCAGCAGCCCACGTGGCAGCAGAAAACAACCTTCGTCGCAGACGGAGGTTGAGGAGAAGCAGCGAGCTCACGCAGAAGCGGCAGCACAAACAAAGCAAGCGGGCAGGTTCTCGAGGTCCTGCCTCCTCTGAAAGCGCTGCTTGTGCCTCTGAGGGCTTTGTTGAAGCGCTCACACTCCGTGCTGGATGGTTTGTGGGTGACCCATCCGTAGGCAGCCTTGCTGACAGCCAGTCTGCGGGCCGTGTCGAGCTTTGTGTTGTGGTCCGTGGGCAAGAACCGTATGCGTTCGCGCACCTGCTTTGCCTGTTGAAGCCTTTGCTCTTCCTTGGAAAGAAGAGGTCGCTCATCACCGCCAGTCGTGCAGCATCCGAGGATGCAGGCAGACTGAACCACAGTGTTCTGTAGGTCCGGTCTGCCGTTCAGCTGAATCATCAGCAGTCGCTGTTGCTCCTGACTTCCACAGGTCATTTGTGTTTCGCCTGCGTTTTCTTTTGGCCCCGCCAGCCTGCGGGACGGCAATGCTGGTGCAAAGAGGGCTGGTGTTGGTGCTGGTGTTCCACTGCAACAGCATGTCTCTGACTCCGGTCAAATCCCCCTAGAAACCGACAACATTCCCTCCACTGGCCCTTGAAACCATGCCAGAAACGCGCGGACATGCACCCTGAAAACCAGCTCACGGCGCCGACTCACTCACTCTAACAAACACAACACTTCAAGGCAAACTTCCACACAGTGTAGACCTCAAAGAGAGCCAAAAGCGGACTGGTCGAGGTAGGCAACGCGGAGCGTTTACAATTCGGAAAAGGTGTGCTCATGTCTCTGTGTGTGTACTCATATGCGAAGAGAGTGTGGATGTGCGTGGGTCTGCTTGTCTGTGTCTATCTCGGTCTGTCTGCTGTCTCGCTGTCTGCCTCTGTCTGTCTCTGTCTGTCTCTGTCTGTCTCTCTCTCTCTCTCTCTATCTGTCTGTCTGTCTGTCTGTCTGTCTGTCTGTCCGTCTGTCTCTCTCGCTGCCTGCGTGCGCTCGCATTCGCACACCGAGGTTTGCGTGCAACACTGCGGGCGGGCGGGCCTGTACGGGGATGGCCTGTACATTTGTCCATTCATTTGCGCTTGCATCTGTCTGTCTGGGTGTGCAAGTGTGAGCTGGCATGCTTGATGCGCGAGCAAGCCTCCATGCAAGTGTGTAAGCATGACGGTGGAGGGACACATGCAATGTGAAGAACATCAGTTGACGTTTACTCCCATTCTGTTGTGCATCACTCGCCCCCCGTCAAACAAAACAATCCATCGTTGGTCATTGATTTTCGATGCCGCAGCCAAGGAGCTCAATCACTGGCACTGCAATGAGCCCCCAGCTGTCCCCGGCAATCACCGTCTTGAAAAGCAACAGATTTGCATGCATCACCGAGGAGGTTGCACGAATGCATTGCTCGCAGTCTGAAAAAACGGTGGTGCTCTTGTCCATATCCAGGATGAGTGGATATACCAATTCCACCAGCAGCATCGCCCAAATAGTCATGATGACGAAGCAAAACACGAAGGACCAAAGCAACGCCTCTCCAGCACTGCAAGCTTCGCGCAGCTCTAAGGACACTAACATTTTGAAGGCCAAAAGAATGTGGCACGGCATTGCTAAAAAATGGACCAAAACCTTGGTTATGCCCACCAAAACACTGCTGAAAGTATCTAAGTCAAAGAACTGTTTTCATGTTTTGCTCAAATCGTCCGAATGACATAATTATCACAGGGGGTCTCATTCAATGGCATGGACACCGCAACGGCAACGCTCCTGCTGGATTTGGAGGGGCTGATTACTCCGCGGTGGCCAGGAATATATACCCACCAAATTGGGAGGATGCTAGGCCGGACTTGTCTCGCTGACAATTCTTTCAACGCAGGGTAGGACTTTGGATCCAGCCGTCTCTCTCAGGATTCTTTCGCGCATGTCAGCGCCCGCATTCCATGAGAAAGATCTGCGAAACCTCCTGCCATAGCCCCTACAACCTTGGCTACGCAAAATAACAAGCCCTTTCCCCAGCCCGCAGACCAGAGTTGCAGCTGGTTGAAACTAGATGGCACACTTTTCCTATTTTGCATTAGTCACATCCCCCGTACAGTACCCACATGAAGGGAACTGTGCCACGTACCTTCAGCCTGGCATAAAGGCCAAACCTGGCCAGCAAACCGTTGCCCGTCCAGCCTTCAAACAGGTTGACATCATGATCACGAGCCTCAGCACGGGCCAAGCATGCTATACGCCTGTGCAGAAACCAACAAGAACCGCTTGTGTGCCAGGGGTAAGGCCTTGCTTGTTGCGTGAGGTATCAGGGGCTTACCCAATCTTGAAGATCACAGAGTGCAAGCAAGCAAGCAAGCAAGCAGCCAAGCAAGCAGCCAAGCAAGCAGCCAAGCAAGCAGGCAAGCAAGCAAGCAGGCAAGCAAGCAGCCAAGCAAGCAAGCAAACAGGGAGGCAGGCAGGAAGCAGGGAGGCAGGCAGGCAAGCAGGCAAGCAGGGAGGCAGGCAAGCAGGCAAGCAGGGAGGCAGGCAGGCAAGCAAGCGAAGCGAAGCGATGCAAAGCAAATCGATCCAGAACCCCTTCGCCTGACTCAAAACAGGCCAGTGCCAGAGCCACCAGCGGCTCTCCAGAGCCCCAGGGACAACCAAAGAGACACACAACCCGCGAAACGACCTGAAGGCCACAAAAGGAAACAAGAGCAGCTTCTGTCCGGGCCGCTTCTGCAGCTCCCGCAGGGCCCGTGTCCTCCGCAGCAGCCGCAGCAGCCGCATGATCCGGGCCAGCCGCAGGATCCGAAGGATGCCGATCCTCTCGAGCGACTTGAGCAAATCGAAACCAAGGGGAAACTAAACAAGGGAAACAAATCAAGAAAACTAATCAAGGGAACCGGCGATTTAGCTCGGAGCCACAATCAATCTTTGTTCTGACATGCCAACTTGGTGAGCACACCCCCAGCTTCTCATGGGCATGTCGTGTCCCAATTTGGCCCATGTCTTCCCATTCACAGAAGATGAGAATGAAAACTGTACGCCCATGCAGCTTAACACGGAGCCAGCAAAAATGCGGGTCTCCTCATCTCCCAAACTCACCACCGTTTGTGCGTTTCCCACCTTCGTGATGGAACAACCAAAACCTTTGCTCACAACGTGAGGCAAAACAAAACAACCCTGCGCCTCGGGCCAATGCAAAGATATTGACTTTCCCCCGCTGAAAATAGTATGTCTAGGTACTCGCTATGACAATGTAAGACCGTGATTTCATGGTGGCTTCCAGGGTGTCTTCTGTTTGCACAGGGCAGAATAAAAGTTCAACCTTTCTGGCTGTGTGATGCTTGGAGATGTAGAATGGAACATCTGTAAAACAAGCAATTTTGGCAAAAGCATTTGCAATCGTCGGACGGTTGTCTGGATTGTGGGCTTGGAGGGATGTCTCAAATTTGGGTGAGTCTCGGGCAGGAGTGCAAGGTGAATCAGCCGTTCTTGACCGAACCGTCGGTGCCTTCAAAGTAGTACTTGGGGAAACGATATGCTTGGGATGTATTAGTCGGGTACGGTATGGAAGCTTGATGCCAGGGAATCGTGCGGCAGGATGGCGTTGATTCCATGGCCAGAGACAGCCTGTTGACACCCGCATGCAGAGTTTGCAGCCTTGTTGGTATTAGGTCAGACTACTGAGTACCAAACATCAACCAAGAAGCACGTCTGAAGATGTCCAAAGAACCCGTAGTGCAAGAGAGGATAGTAAAGCCGAAGGATGGGTGGGGAGAAAAAAGAACGATTCCTCTCCTTTGCGCAAGACCAACTGCTGTCCAAGAAAGACCTCAGTGCGCATGATATAAGATCCACGCGGAATAGAATTGTGGGACCCTTTGTAAGCTCACACGTGGCTCTGCTGCAACTGGCTTCTGCTAGCTACCAAATCACATTTTCTCAAAGCCACCTTTAAGTGGCAGGTTCAAGGGAAAGATGCAGAGAAGTCTTGTACCCCTTGTAAATGGCTGCACTTGTGCTGGATAGTGGGAAAACATCATTTTCCAGTCATCACAGGCTCAGTCCAGGGGACCGCGCGCGCGTGCGCGCCCCGCGCGTGCGCGCCGCCGCGTGAGAAAGGCTTTCCGTCCTGGCTGCCAAGTCAGGAGTCACGCCGTCCAGGATCATCTCCGCATATCCGCAGAGAATGACACCTCGAGACGACATGAGCAGCGCACAAAACCCGCTGGCTTGTTGTCGGAGAGATGACAAAACGCTTTCTACAGGATTTGCCACAATCCAAAATAAAACCAGGTAGTCAAAGGAAGCTTAGAAGGAACTTCCGTGATGCAGCAACGAATTGAAAGCTTGCTCTCTGACAGATGACAAGAGAAGAGTCAGCACGCGCGAAAAAATGCTTGCAAGGGAAGAGAGATGTCAAAAAAGCGCAATCTGAACGAATGTCGATGCTTGGGGTGGTTGAAAGCTAGCCGCTTAGAGCGGGCTCGGAGCCGAGACCATTGGCACAAAGGCGCAAGCTTTTCGCAACATAATGTGCATGACAGGCGCAGGTAGGCGCAGCACTTTCGCAAGGTCAGGTAAACATTGCGTAGCAGGTACAGCACTTTCGCAAGGTCTGGCGCAGCACTTTTGCAAGGTCAGGTAAAAATTACGGTACAGATTTCGCGGCAGGTAGATAGACAGATACACAGACAGATAGGTAGGTTGGTAGATAGATTTTTAGATAGACAGGCAGATAGATAGCTAGATAGATTCGGTCAGATCAGATTGGACTAGATTAGGTGAATTAGATTAGAGCAGATTGGCTAGATTAGATAGATTAGATTGGATAGATTACATCAGATTAGGTAGATTTGATTAGATCAGATTAGATTAATCAGGTAGAATAGATAGACTAGATCAGACTAGATCAGACTAGATCAGATTAGATAGAGCAGGAAAATTAGGGATCCATTAGATAGGCAAATAAATAAATAAATAGATAGATAGATAGATAGAGAAAGGGTAGATGATACATGCAAAGTGAAGTAGGAAGAGAAAGAACAAGACCAAGACACAGGGAAAGAAGAAAGAAGAAAGAAGACAGAAGAAAGAAGGAAGGAAGGAAGGAAGGAAGGAAAGAAACAAATAAAGAAAAAAAACAAAGAAAGAAAGAAATAAATACAGAAATATGACAAACAGCAAGACGAGAGAAAAAGAAGGAAGAAAGTAAAAAGACAAATATCTATAGTTATTGCTTGAAACGTACGCCGCCGGCTCTGGTAGAATCAACAAGACTTGCACTGCAATAGCAATTTTTGCGCCATGGTCAAACAGTACAACCCCGTGGCACCACACCCCGCTGCAATAGGCATGGGCAACAACTATACCACCTCACAACTGCTTATGTGGGCCATGGTCAGTCAAAGGTCCCTTCATAGGAACATGTCGTCTAAGACCCCTGTGGAGAGGTTGATGACCAGGAGCCTTTTTGACAATGGCCAATTGCTTTTTCCCACACCAAGAAGCTCACGTTAAAACAACCAATTGAGGAGTCTCGACAAACTCATGAAACAGACAACATGTCCGTGATGAAGATCATGATTCAGCCCTGCAATGGCGTCACCTCTCATAATTAAGACAATCTGGGAGGAAATCCTGAATCTCTGGGAGGCAAATGTGGAAAGGTCAGCACCAGACAAAGGGGCAAACAAGGCAGCCCAAGCGTGGGGTAGCGTGGAGTTCCCAAGCTCATACCCAAAATCCCAAATCCCAACTCCGAATACCCCAACTCCGCCACGCAGCCCAAGTCGATCCCCACCATGAAGTCCTTCAAAATGACGCAGCCTGGCATTCAGAACTCACTTGCGTGATGCTCAGAGACTCATGCTGATGGCACAGGTGGGACAAGTCTGCCAGTCCCAAACTGGTTCGCGGCAGCTCCAAACAGAGCGAGCCGAGCTTACAAGTAGCAGAACCAGTGAATGGCTTCAAGTCAGCCAGGCAGAAGCCCTCGCACGAAGCGGTCTAAGCACCTGTGTCTTTCAAGTTCACCAATCACCCCATCCGGCTTTTGGCCATGGACTTTTGGAGGTCTTAAGAACAAACAAGGAACCTCAAGGGTTCTTTCTGGTAGACCGTTTTCCTCCAACAGGGACCCTTTTTGCACTATTTTTGGGAGGGCTTGCCACCCCTGTGAGCCCCAAGGCCCCATGCACGGCGCCTCGTGCGAAGAGCAAGATGGCCATCTCGATGGTGTACCTTGGATCCGACAAAGGCCTCCAGGGCATCAACTCTACGTAGAGAACAGATATTGAGATAAATACATAGACGAGTAAACGAATAGATAGGTAGGCAGCCTGGCTGGCTGACTGAGACTGGCTGAACAAACAAACAAATAAAACAACAAACAAGATGGCCGAATGAGCACCTCTGGGATGCCAGGGGGGGGGGTACATAGCAAATATTATCGAGATTATAATCGTTCATACCATGTTGGTACCAAAACTCAACGGGTGTTGGGTCTGTGCTGTTCATTTAGTATGCGTCAAAATAGGATTCGGGTTTCTTTGAGCTTTCAACCCGGAAAAACATGTATTCTTGAGGGTACCCTTGTGGGGGTTGGTTTAGCAGAGGGAAACCAAAAGCAAGCTAATCATTCTGGGAATCCCCCTACTTTGACACATACCGATTCTGATTTGGCCATCCACAATCCGAATTTCAGCACCCCTCGATCCAAGCGGCAACAACAGGCACATGCCCGCGCCGATTGCAACATAAGCGGGGGTCGGCGACAGCTCCGCCCGCGAGTCGATGTCTACGCAGTTGCAGTAGGCGTCGAACAAGATCACCACCGCCATGAAGTGGGTCACATACCTTGGCTGGTTGGTTGGCCGGCTGGCCGGCCGGCTGGCTGGTTGGTTGGTTGGGTCACATGCGCTGGAGCAGGTTGGCTGGAGATGAAGAGGGTTCGGGAATGGGTGCGTGTTTTGAGGGTGCTCGTTCAATTCGGAGCTTGGCTAAAAGGGGCAAAAAAAAGGAACGTCACCATTTTGCGGTCCTTTTTGGACACACTCACATACACAATGGACAAGGGCAAAATGTCCACGATTTCACGGTCTTTGGTTCTTGAACCAAAGAATCCAAAGCTATGTTCACAACTCCCAACTTGCAGCACGGTACTTGTGTGTCGCAGCACGGTTGGCAAGCATTTGCAGCTTCTGGAGGCGGTCGTTATCCTCAGGCGGGGTAGCCAAAGGCCTCCAAAGCCACTCACAAAGGCTTCTTAGAAGGGTTTGTGGGGGGTTAAGGGGGCGGCAATCCTGCGTGTGCAATGCCAACAGGAGGAGGCTTTGCATGTCACGCAGTCAAGTGCCTGCAATGAAAAGGGAAGAAGCATTGCAGAAACTTGGTCTGTCCTTCCAACAAGCGGACGACTGAAATAAACGCGTAACAACAGGTCGGTGGACTGGAAGGCTGGGGTTGACCCAACAAGGCGTCTGCGTGTGTGTTCTTTGCAGGCACAATGAGGCCAGGTTGGTCCAAAGGAAAATCAACGGGAAAAACAAACAACGTTTCTTGGGCGCCCCTATTTTCTCACAAGCTCAACGTCCACGATGAAAAAGCGAGCGCACCTCCGGGTGCTCGCTCATTGTGTCCGCTTTGATGAAGTCTCCATGCAAGGCGATGCCTGACGCGCCAAGCTCACACCTCCGATACCAGAGGCTCATCGCCCAAAAGGTGAGGGGTGACCAAAAGGAACCCACCACTTGCAGCCCCTATGTTTGAAACACCTGCTTGGAACAGTGCCGCTTGTTTTAGCAGAGCGAGTGGAGGCCATATAACTAAAACCTTGTCTAAAATTTGCCGACTGAAAGCGCACTTTCCCAAACTCGTCAAGTCTTGCGGAGATCGCTGGGGGAACAGGGGCATGCCTGCGTTTCACCAAACATGGCGCGCGCGTTTTCTCACGGAATCGACGCCTCAAATGTCTTTGACAATCTCCGTCAGGCAGTGTGCTGGTATTGCTGGGACCCTCCGAATTTTCTGGCAAGCTTTCCATATCAATGAACGAAGTTGCTTTGGGAAGCACCCCAAACACGATGCAAGCACCGAGAACCCTGCATCGGCCCCGCCTGGGGTGCTCTTTTTCTTGGAACTGAGGCGTGAGGAGCTCGCGTTAGAGTCGTACTGTTCCATCGGGTCTTCGGGCGATGCCCCGTGCGCGCTCTGCGGGCTCTGCGGGCACGAAGCGGACGTAGCGGAGCTGTTCCAGCCTCAGACCAAGGCAAGAACCAAGGCCAACCACGGGGGATAAAACCATGGGGTGCATGCACCTTCGCCCGTCTTGGCTTGCCATGTGCTGACAACTCGCCCATCCAAAACAAAGGGGCTAAACTGCTTTGTTTGTGTCATCCTATGAGATTGCCCAAAATGGCTCCTCATCAGGGAACAAAGTTGCAAACCTCACCCGGGGACCCACATTCAGTCTATATTCTGACCCATGTGCTTGCCCTCCAAGTTCCCTGCACTCCCAAACAATCGAACCAACAGTGCAAAGCCTGGGGTATTGCGCCTCCTGGACCCGACTTTTCCGCGGATGAGGCTTCTTTGTTTCCCCCGCAACCCCAAACTTCGAACTCGGAGCTGCAGAGCTCGATTTTTTCTGTTCGTGCCGCGGCGAGGCCGAGCGAAGACGAATTGAAATTCGTCGTTCGGGGCGCCGACGGAGATGGCGTCATGGCGTCCAAAACGGAACTCCCTGGTCCCATGAAATCCCCATTCTCCAAGTCACCCAATTGCCCCACACTCTGAATGGTTGGGTATAAGGGAAACAACCCTTGTTTTCTGACATTGGTGAGCCTGAACCAGCTGAAACTCATGAACCTTCAGCTTTAACGACCAATTGGACGAGTCTGAAACGGTGATTCCCACCCCAAAACAGATCGACTCCGCCCGCGGCCAGATTGAATCCTATCTTTCCCTACAACAAATGAAACAAACATCTCCCAAATAAGGCGTAACCTGAGAAACATAACTGGGCTTGGTCTGGGAATTCAGGCTTTCTGCTTCAATCCCACACCATCACCGCCTCTGCCACCCTCAGCGCCGACGCCGCAGCATCTTTCGCGCCGGAAACGCCGCAAAAGTCCCCGCACGCAGCGATTCGCAGCTCTGGGTCCAGGCAGGGGCCCTCCACGGGGACCTCCGAGAACGAAGCGAGGAACTCGCCAATGAAAACCCTTTCTTACCAATTCAGGGTTGGTAACAAGGTATGAGTTCTTAAGTGTAGCCAAATCTGCCAAGAGAGCACAAAATGAAGAAGCTGGTCAACCCAGCGAACGCGCACCTGTTTTCGTGCGAAAGATACACGCCTATACGTTCAGAACATATACGCGCAATGCACACAGGTGTACGCGCGGCGAAAACCCATACCCCTGTGTACTCACAATGAACACGCGTGTATAAACGCGGGAACAAAGGCAGTCGTGCGTTCATACACTCTGCACTCACACACGCATGCGCGCTGAGAACACATATGTGTATGCGGGAAAAAGGTTTACATTGGACCAAAACACAGAAGGATGCAAATGTATATGCTCAGAGAGACCTGCGCCCCCCCGCTCGGAGCACACACGCATCTATATACACTCGGAACAAGACCGTGAACACACTCGGAACACACGGTTTGCACGAACACGCACGCGTGTGCACTGCGAACGCACGTGTCTCCAGCAGCAGCGAGCACGTGTAAACGCAGGCAAGGCGCCCGCGTAGACACTCTGAACACACATGCGCTTGCGCTGGGCAAACACAAGCAGGCTGCAACAACCACAAACACGTCACCCACACTCAAGCACGCGTGCAAATGCAAATGCAACTGCAAGTGCCGTCTGAGTGTCGCACTTGCAAGGATGCAAACAAACAAAGTGGCTCAGCGGGCTTTCTGGCTTTCTTCCTGCCAAAGCCCTTATGAGTTGCGATGGAAAAGCAGGGTACCCAAGTTGGCTGCAGTTGAAACACAGACATGTTTGAGTGCGACATGTGACGCACTTCCCCATATCTCAGAAGCAATGTGCAGTCCGGTCACTACCGGCATCCTTTTAGGGCGCACAGCGCCGTCCCCGAAAAAAAGAGGAAAACAAAAGGAGAAAAAACAATCGCGAAGCATGCTTCAAGTTAGTGCCAGTTTATGAATGCCGCACCAAACCCATGCCAGACAGCAAAACAGCGGCACCGCGCAACAGCGCCCCAACAACACCCAACAACACCCAGCAAGTCCCTGCAAGTCCCTGCAAGTCCCTGCAAGTCCCTGCAAGTCCCTGCGTCCTGCGACAACAGCACCTTGGAATTACCATTGGCAATTGCCGACAGCGCTGCACAACCTTCGTCCTGCGCTATGTTCCCAAATGGCGCCCTCCACCTGCACTACCCTGCCCGCGTCAGTTCTCCTCTCGCAGCCGCGCGCAAATTTGAAAGGTACAAGCGCCGAAGCCCCGAAAACCCTCAGCCCCAGAGCCGGGAAGCGATCAAATGGCCGAGGCGGGCAGTGCCAAGCGCTTACCATAGAGGAATCTCTTCCTTGAGAACCACCTCCCCAAAAACCAAAGTGCCTCCCATCTGCCAAAAAACCGGAAAGGATGAGACCTGGGCTAAGATGCTACCCCAAAGGATCGGTGGAATCGCTCTCCAGCCTTCCAATCCAGCCTGGTGCGCTGCCCAAACGGCCCCAACTGAAATCAGCGGAATGCATTCAATGCACCAGTTGGTAGGTGTATTTCAGGAGTTCATCCACCCCTGGTGCAGGATCCTTGGCGGTTAACAATGGAGGGTTGGCCAATCCTAATTCGCCCACAGGTTTGTCCATCGGTATTCAACCCTGCCTCCGCATAGGCGGCACCCCAGCGCTGACACTGCTTGGTGCGTACCACGATATCCTTGGTTCTACGCTTGCTTTCTTGAGTTGGTACCCTTTTCAGCCTGGTTCAAAGGGACTCCCGAAGGGAAACCACCCATTTTCGGGGTCCAAGTCCCTATTTTGACAAATGCCCATTTGAGATATTTGAGGGGGTGTCCAGACTCAGCCGGAAGGGGTTCCCCTAGCAAACCAGGCTCGCATTGTTTATATCGATGGAATCGCACGCGAGCTACGGCCTTGTAGGGGTGAATTTCTCATTCCCTCTTTCCCTCTTTCCCTCATTCCCTCATTCCCTCATTCCCTCATTCCCTGAGGAAATTCATCACAGTGCCCCAAGGTGAGCGCGTCATAGTTTGCCCAGGTTACAGGGTGAAGTTAGTTGGCACAACTCCGTTGGGTAAGGCCAGGCTTCCATCAACTCTGCGTCGAGATTTAGGAGCCGCAGAAGGGCTTGCAGCATCTGATCCGCAGGGTCACCGGTGAGGTAGCCCAGCTCCTAGCCGGTTTCCACTGAAGACTCAAAAAAGAGATGGACCCCTTTTCGATGTTTTGCAAGGGGAACCAACAGGAAACAAGCCATGTCAGGGTCCCCAACTTTGAGAACACCCAACGTTTCCTCCAAAGGCCTATGAAAGAAGCCGTCAAACTTGCTAGTTCGAGAATGACCACCACTGATCTTCATCCAACAGGTTTCCTTCGGATCCTAAACTCCGGTGATTCCCTGAGGAGAAAACAGGAGTGTGAAGTTGTATGTCCTCGGGCGCTCACCACAGCCCGCGCCCTCCATTTTACGGGCGAAGGACGGATCACATGAAAGCCCTCGCAGATGGTATGCAACACCAGCAATGGCACTTGCCAAAACGCGAAGGGGTGGGACGCAAGGAGAGGACCAGGTTCATATCTGTGTTCAAAATCATGGCGGTCCTTCATCCTAGTCCGTAATCCAGCGGGTGTTCTACTCGACAACCCTGTCGAAGACTGGGGCACGGAGCTGTCAAGCCAGTCAAAAGTCAGCTTTCACCACGTTAATGCCCTTTGGAATCCATGAGTTCTTCTTTTGGATCCCACCATTCTGGAACCCTGCCGTCGCTTTCGGCGCACCCCCCTAGTGTCTCCTGTGGCCGGTAGCTCAAACTGCCCGCAGCACCGGAGTGCGCCATAGAAGTCTCCTCAAGAACCACACCACGTCCCCAGCCGTCTTCACCAGCCATGCGTGGAGGAATCGGAGCAATCGAATCTGGGGGCGAACGTGGGGTCTAATGCTGATGGGTTTACCTCCTAAAAAAATGAAGGGAATTGAATTGTTAACATTGTCTTTCGTTAAATCGTGCGTCTATATAATGATGTCGTAGAACATCTTCTTGCGTATAGAAAGAAACAACGTTTTACCTAGTTTCCTAGGAAAACTTCATGACTTCGTGCAGGCGAAGAAGGCACATTTTCGATATGCACACTCTGGGCAGTTGAGGCCATGATGCGAGTTGGACAATACGATCGCGTGTCTCGACAAAGTTTGCTTTTTGTTTGAGCAAGCACTTGGATATGCATCGCGACATGGGCTTGATTTGGAAGAAACCCAAACAGTGCAACGAATCAAAAAGATGGCCGCACCTGCCTGTTGTTGGCACTGTCGCTTACTAACATACACTTGCCCAGCTTTGATTGTGGCCCCAAAAGGGGTATATCCGCGCACCTACGCATGTGCCTCCCTACCGAACATGGGTGGATGACCTTCCGCTAGACTTTTGCTCGAGGCACAGGCCCCTTTCAAAGCGTCATTGGATTCTTCATTGGCCTGAGTAGAATGAGCTGAAGGGAACCAGCAAGTTGATTCTTGGTGGCGGAATCAGGAGCACCAGCCTGCCCGTATGAGCGCACGGAACACTGCCCACATCCTTGAGGCAGCCGTCAGCAAACTCCCGCGTGCTCACGCAGACCCAGCAGTCCTCTTCCTAGAGGAAGCCCAAACAAAACCCCAAAACGAGATTCCTCTAAACCTAGTGGCTTCTGGGGTCAATCTGCAGGAATCTTCAGGAATGTACCCTCTGACCAAACCTGCTTTGGTGCACAACCTATTTCAAACGCGCCTTTCCCTTTTGGAAAGGGAACCTATAGCTCTCACTTCCCTGGGAGAGCTGTTGGCACCGAAGCCCATCTCTCATACCCACCAATGGAACCAAAATGCATTTGGCGCCCCCTTTGTGAGCAAATACCCTGTTTGGGTTCTGTTCAAGGGAAACCAAAAGAACCCCCCCGTTTTGGAGGTCCCATTTTGTGACAAACCCATTAGACCAGCGAGAAACGCCACAAGCGAACTTCTGGCACGCGCCAGGAGTAACTGGATTTCCCCTCAAAAGGTGCAGTTTACTGGTGGTGTCCATTGACCAACTGAGCGTCCGAGGCCGCTCCACCTTTGGAGGCCATTCGGCACACCCACTGCAGAATCGGGTCGTCCCTCACCTCAAAGGGGGGGCCCGTTCGCTTCTGTCAATCCCCAACCTGTTGTTGGGCCCACCAAAAAGAAGATAAAATGGAGGTGCCCAAAAACAGGTTTGGGGTTGCGAAAAGGCCCCCTACTGGCCATCATGGAAGAAGTGCGATGTCGGCAATGTCCAACGCACACACACACAGACACTGCAAGAGCCTAAGCGCCTAAGCTTGGAACCTAAAGCTCCCACGGAGACGCTTCTTTGGCACGTTGCAAGTCTCACCTGTGCCCAAACCAAAGCGGGAAACGACAGCAAAACAATATTCATAGAAACCAAGCACACACAAAGCACAAAGACAAACAAGCAAACAAGCAAGCAAACAAACAAAACAAGCAAGCACGCAAACAAACAAACAAATGAGCAAACAAGCGAACAAGCAAAGAGCAGCAAACAAGCAGGCAAGTAAGCAAACAACAAGCAAATCGGCACCAAGACAAACACATTCAATAGTCCAAGTGCAGGCAGCTCCATCTCAGTCTGAAACAGGGTGATTCCGGGCCCTTCACGGGCCATATCGCTGGTACCCCAAAGGATTGCTGGAATCGCTTGTGAATCAATTTGCCCAGACCATAGCCATACCTCTCTGAGAGCACCCTTCTAAATTCCTTCCCAGAACTGAGGAAGGACGTTGAAACCCTTGAAACTGGAGTTCTTGAGCCTCTGTACCTTTTGAGGGCTACGAACATCTCCTTCAAATGGTTCCAGCCAACCCAGGCGCCACGGCCGCGTCGAAGTCGAAGGTTTGCGACAGCTCTTGCGGCCAATCGAAGGACACCATCAGCGAGAAGAGGGGCGCCATTTTCGCTTTCCGCATGGCATCGCAGGCCCGGGGCCTCCACACCAACAAGAGAACAGAGGTCAGAAAAAGAATTGGAACCCTGTATGGTTGATGGAATCCATGTTTGGTGGGAAAAATATGGGACACCTACCCAACGAAAAGGCAGTTGGGTATGCGTCACAATGCAAAAACGACACCCCCAAATGGTGGCTTTCCATTTCGTTTCCCTTTAGACCGACCTGAACAAATGGTGCCCTCCAACAAACACGCAGCCATTGAGAGGGACTCCACCGGAGAACCTGCCTCGCGTTCGAGGCCCAGCAAAGCCACGCGGTGCCACTCGGGGAAGGAGAGCATCACGTCGCAGAGGATGAGGCATCGGAAGCGGCCCAGGAAGTCCTCTTTGGCCTCCCCCAAAATTCCATTCGGCTTTCCACCCCCAAGGTGGATGTTGTCCACAGGTGTATTTGAGTGCGTTGGTTGCGTCACTGATTAAAGCGACCCAGGCCCGAAACCAAAAGGAGTTTGCTTATTCAAACACCTTAGGGTTGGCCCGACCTGCCACACGCCAAAACAAATGCACCCCCCCTTTTGGATGGCAGTTCTTTGGCACTGTTCCCTTGAAAAAGCCCATTAAAAACGGTAAAAATTGGAAACACCAAAATACCCCCCTCCACCAACAACCCGAACCAACCGTATTTGCTCGCCCTGCTCTTTGGGAAAGTACCGACCAACCCCTTACTTAAAGCCTCTGACAGGGAGGGGAATATGGCACCTTCAGGCATTCCCCCACCAAAGGGAAACCAAAATTATATCATGGCCCACAAAGATAAATATATATATATATATATATGCAGTTAGGCGAAGGCAAAACGGCACGAGTTTGCCCCATTAGGCTTAGGTGCCGTCTACTCACACCCTGGTGTGACTGACAAAGCGTGCGCTGCACCCAATCCACGCCATGGCGGATTACTTTCTGTATACCAAAGAGGACGATCCCTATGACTAAATCCTTATGACTACTTTGTCATTGAAGAAGTTGGAATCCCTTTTTGGAGGCCTTTATCCACAGAAACGCAAGCAAACCAACCTGAAGGGTCCCGAATGCTTACGAGAAACACCCTTACTTCTCACAGAGCATGGCCCCAAACTTTTCCAGGTGTTTCTCACAAAGGGAATCGATCCCCTACAATTGCAACAATTTTTGCTGGGTTTCCCGATAAATACAAACTAAAACACCGGTTCCTCCAAACCCAGTGTCCCACCACGCCCGCGCCTCCTGGGCATCCTTCTCGGCCGCCTCGTGGTGGCACTGGTCCCCCAAGTTCCCGTGCAAGATCCAGGCACCGTCCTCACCGTTTCCGGCCAGATGGCAACTTCCTGGGAATACGGGGGCAAGACACCCACAAAGGGTTTCGGTTCTGGAAAAGGTCATCTGATGCCTTTACAGGAGATATTGTGCCTTGACTGGAGCCGTTGAGAATTGTGGGCCGTGTAAAAAGGCCCGAAGGTTGAATATGTCTGAATGCAAGCTTTAGGCCGCCAAAGTTCTAACTCAGAAAAGTGAAAACGCGACCCAATTGTTCACCCAGTTAGAAGCATGTTGAAACACGGCCGCGCCCCGACTCGTCCTCTCGCGCCACTTGCCGCACTCGGCACTGCCGCACCACTTTGAAAGCGCCTTCCGCCACGATGCCCTCGCAGAGGCGCCGCATGCCGCCCGGGCTCACGTACCTCAGCGGTCGAGCGGTCGTATGTTTACCTCTTGCCCTGGACTTGGAAAGGGTGTTAAGTCCCCTGGTTTTTCCGGGACATTTTGGTAACGTCCCCAACTTTTATGGGAAATGTGGTAAGTCCCTGTTTTTTTTTTGCGGGAAAGTTGTGTCAGTCCTCTAGTGGTGTGGAAACTTAGTGAGTGCCCCCATGTCCCTCCATGCACCATCGTGGAGACGTTCACCAAACCTCACCTGAAACTGTGGATTCGTCAGCACTTTGACCTCCGCAAACGCTTTGCTGGTCTTAGACTCACGGAAGCCACAACATGTACCCAAGCGGATCTTGCCTGCACGGGCGTATCTTGACAACACATTGGACTGCACATGTTTCATGCGAGCCGCCTGCCGCTGGCTTCAGTATCAAGTGCAAAGGACAACACATAAGACTGCATATAGTGATACTGACGAAGCGTTGTGGCAGCATGAAAAGTGGGTATCCTTGATCAACTCAAAAGGAACTTCCTCCTCCAGCTTCGTCAAACATGATGGCAAACTGGGTGGCACCATCCCATGAAAACTAGACACGACCGCGGTCCAGTTGTGAGCTGGCCATTGTAAAAAACAGACTAGGCGTCAAACCGGCACCCCAAAACCAGGCCAGCATCAAGACCAACTCAAAACTTCGGCCGGAGGCTTGCTGGCCATCGCCAGCAACTCCAAACACTCAACCCACGCCAGGAAAACAACACAAAAAATGTAAAACCTTCGGCAAAACACAACACAACCACTGCCCATTGTTCCCCAATCCTTTTCGAAGGACCAAGCGGGAGCAGTGCCTGGATGTTGTAATTAGTCTGTTCCAGTACCATTTTGTCGCAGCTCAGCGGAAATGCCTGCTCTCACCGCATCCCTGCTCATTCGATCGCTTTCCCCAAAAAGCAGACATAACAAGACCGTGCTGCATTCTTTTGTATGCCATGGTCCTTACTTATGTGAAGCTTGACAATGCTCGTCTAACATGATGAAGATCCCTATCAAGAATCCTTTGTAACCCAAGTAAAGCGCAAAGTGAAAGAGTCTCTTGAAGGGTTACGCAGGTTTTGGTCCATGTTTCCAATTATCAGGGTTCCGCTTTGGCACCGGTTTTTTGAGCCACGGCCATATGGCACGTATCCATGTTCATTTTGTACGGGTACCCTTGATGTGTTTCAAACCCCCAACTTTTGCTGGTTCATTTCGCCAACCTTTGCTTCCAAGACGCAGCTCCGAGTGCCTTGCCACGTCAAAGAAGGAGGGCTTGGTTTTGTCCAGCGGACGGGGTGTTGCTATCCCTCCGGAGCCTGACAGCTCGCAAAGCCTCAAAGGGGCCAGGCCGTGTGGGGGCCCGTTTTGGGCGGTGCTTGGGGGCTTAAAGTTGATTGGACTGCCCGGCCTGAGACGCAAGATGTCCGTGGGAAGTTGGAGCTCCCAGGCCCAAGTCTGAATCCCGGCAACTGGAAGGACAATATTAGATCTTGGATTCGTGCCAGGGACATCTAAGTCTGATTCCGGGACATTGCTCTCAAAGGTCTTCAACTCTTTGGATATTTGATCCTCTCCCATGAGCTTCTTAGTTCCGGGATGACCTAACTTCCAGGATGTGGAAATCTATCTCCTGTCTTTCGGGTGGAAAGTGCAAGCCTCAAAATGGAAAGGTTCTCATGTAAGGCAACTGTCAATCTGCAGTTGCCCATGTTGCAGCTGCTCCCATTGATGCGTTCTACATCTTCGCATAATTGTTTTCTGTAGGAGTCCTTTGTACTACGTACGATGGGTGCCGCAGCTATGAGATAAACTGTTCCCTTGCGCTGGACACACTCGGACGTCCAGTCCACTGTATCCAGGTTTCCAGGAGCTCCCTAGAATATGGTCAAAATTCCTACTCCCCGGAAGTATGTGTCCAAGCTGAATCCTTCTCATGGGGTTTTAGCTGAACCAAATCGAGGCTCACGGCTGGATGCACCCAGGTTTTCTTCTGAAGATGCAGAAGTGGTTTGTCATTTGCATGGGTGCCTGCACATGCAACTACCTAATTCTAGCCCATCCGAAAAGGTGCAGCCGGCTGGCTTCTGCAAAGGCGAGCTCAAATCAAAGAAAACGGCTGCACACAAACAATCTAGCAACCGTCAACGCGCGTTCAGGTGCCAAGTGTTGAATCGCAGACGTTCTGAAATCCAACTTGGAACAATCTAAAACAATACCTTGTTTCTTGAACCCGAAACTGGGTAAGCTGTATCCCAACTAATCACACGTCAAAGCTTCACCCACAGTGGCCATGGGGTCTCGAATCGAAAGCAAGCTCTTCTTGGGTTGATAGTCTTGCTTTTTGTGGGGGGACCAGGGAAAAACAGAGGACAACAGTCACAAAGGCCCTTGGTTTGCCCAGTGACCCCCTCAATTGGGCGGGTTTTTGTTTAAGGGAGGATGCGCCGAAAATATTCCCAAGGAGTATCCCCAACAGCACCAGCCGAAGTTCTGGGAAAGGAGAACACGCACCTCGGATCTTTGCTATCTCAGCTTCCGCCTCCAAGACTAAGATGTACAAAGCTGAGGCAGGAAAGATTGGTTACCGATCTTTCAAATGTGGTGGGATCTTGCCTACCTCCGGCCCACATTTGGTGAACCTCAGATCGCAATCTCTCATTCCACCACTCAGGTTCCATGTCACAATGTGGGGGGATAAGATGAGACGAACCCACCTGGATTGATCGCTTTCCGGAAGCATTGCGAAAGGGTTCTTCCAGTAAAATCGTTGGCCTTATCGCGCAAGATACACAAGAGAGTACGCACAGCAAGATGCACGAGAGCATCTGCGTAGCAAAATGAACAACAGTACATGGAGACACGAGAGCACATGTTGAGCGCACATGCAGAGCAAAACGCAACAGAGAAACACGCGCAGCAAAATTGAACGAGACAGCACGCGCAACAAATTGCACGAGATAACACGCGAAGCAAATGGCACAAGCCAACTTGCTCACGAAAGCTCGCGTGAGACATCTTGCAGGATAAATTTGGACTCGAATTGATCCTTGCTCTTTAAGGCGGCACGCGCGGTGGGAGCAAACCGCTCTGCGACAATGACACTGTGCGTGATTTGGCGTGCTCGAGGCTGAAAAAACTCGAGCTGTTTGCCACTTTTCAACATGCCCGGGATCGGCGTGGTCGATGCGCAAAAACTGTGGACTTCTGCTACTGTTTGCACTTCGCACGCAACGGCGTGGTCAAGGTTCAAAAACTCAAGGGTGTTGCTACTTTTTGCGGTTCCCGCGCGACCCTCTGTGCGGATCGGCGTGGTCAAGGTTCAACAATCTGAGGTGCTTGTTACTTTTTGCGGTGTGAGCGTGACCCTCTGTGCGGGTCGGCGTGGTTGATGTGCCAAAAACTCATGACTTTTGCTACTTTTGGATTTGCCCGATCGGCTTGGTCATCTTGCGCAAAGAAACTTGCATCGAGAACTTGCGCAGGGAAATTTGACCAGATACGCTTGAGCTGATGAATAGCACAGAGAAACTTACATATAGAACTTGGGCGGAGAAGTTTGCACGGAGATGCTGCCCGGGGAACTTGCAGAGTGAACATGCACAGAGCCTCCTGGCGCACAGAACTCGCACGCAGAACAGCTACGACTCGAAGGCATTCTTCTGGCTTGAAAGACAAGCGTCAGAGCAGAAAGAACATGTGCAGCAGCACCTCGCAAAAACGTGCCACGTGAATCTTCATGGGTCCCGGACCCTTGGACGTCAAACTTCGGTAGGGATTGGAGCCCAACTCTTAAAGCAAATAGGTTCGTCTATTCGTCTATTTGAAACCCGGAAGAACCCTCCCCCCCGCCTTCCCCCCCACTCGTCCAGCCTGGGCGCCCAGCGGCTCACCAGGCCCCGGCGCTCCCAGGCCGCCAGCAGGTCCCGCCACTCGCCGCCCTGGCCGTCCGACCCCAGGAACTGCGCCTCGATCCGCGCGTCGACATGCAAACACGGCGGCACCAAATGCAAATGGCAAGATGTCTTTGGCAAAAGGCGAATGCGAGATGACAAAGGCCAGAGGAGCGGGCTCTGAACGCCAACCTGGTTGAGTGGTAAAAATGAGCTGCCAATTCCAATTGGCATGGGATTTTGGGCTGTGAGTATGTCCAAGTGTCGTCCCTTTTACCAAAGCGGATGACTGCAAATGTTGGCCGGTTCTCATATGGGAAAAAATGGTGAGTCCCCTGTTTCCTTTTTTTGGATTGCTAGTGAGCCCCCCGGGTGTCCCTACCAAATGGACCATAGACTACCCGATATTTGACCAAACCTCAAACGGGCCCGCGGTCGGTTTGCCCAGACGAAGGGAATGAGGTAGGAAATACCGTCAACGTATGTATGTATGTATGTATGTATGTATGTATGTGTTTATAATAATGGGTACATGTTTATGTTAATATCTAATATCAAAGATATGTCCTGCTGTTATAAATTAGCTATACCATGTTCTGCATGGTCATTTGAAATTTCAGGATAATATCGTCAAGCAGAAGATACAGTTTGAAATGCATATACAAGAACTCAGAATCGCTTTAGAGAAAGAAAGGACGTGTAATTTTTTTCATCACAAGAATGATACCCTACTTCATGAAGAGGTTTTTTGGACCTAAAATACAACTTGTAAAATTTTGAAGATGTTCTATTGACGATTATTTTGGCAGATTTGTTTGTTAAAAAAAATGACCAGCCGATTCTAATAGGAAAAAGGTGACCAAATGATCATTAAGCAAAGACAAATCATCCCCACCTCCTGCCATTGATGGTCCAACTCCTACTGTTGGGTTTTTCCTGGCGGTTGCTGCGGAAGGCAAAGTAAAGGAAGATGGACCAGTTCCTTTCTGCTGCAACAAGGCAAACCGACGGAAACCAAAGTGTCATAGTGGTCGTCCAATTCATGCCTTCCCCGAAGGATGCCCTTTGTGGCGTTGTTTGAAGGACGGAGCAATATCTTTCGGAGTGCCCTATGATGAGACACGTCCAAATGCACCAAAAAGAAGACATACAGTATGGAGATGCTTGAGTCAAACGTGGTCCCAATCAACTGGCGGTTCAAGCCGCCCCAAGCTATCCAAAGGGTGACCTGTTCCTTTTCTGTTGGCCCCTATGTTGCCTGTTTGGCCCAGCCAAAAGCCGTATATGGGGGTCAACTCAACTTAAAGTCTACAATTCCCTCAAGTATCATGGTGAGCTCATTTTAGGCGCTCGCTGCCAGGGTCCTTGGAGAACCCTCCGCGTTTTCTTTGGGTTGTTGATATTCAGGAAAGCCCCTCCAAAACAAGCAAGAGGGCGCAACTGAATGAACTCCCCCCTCTCCGTTCGGCATTTGTTTACAATGCTTCCGAAAACCTAGAACAAAACTTGGATTCCCCAAGTAAAGGTCGCTTGCAGATTCATCCAGAGCTTCCTCCAGGGGTCTAAACCGAGGCACGCCATGGTCGAAGCGCTGCGCTCCCGTCTCTCGGTGCCCGCAGCGGCCCCCCAGGCCCCGAGAGCCCACGTCGAAGAGCACTACCTGGTGGGTCGCAGGTCGGGATTGACCCCGATGAATAGGGGATGGTTGGGGAAATGCAAATATGGGCCCGTATGGGCCCGTATGGGTATATGTCTTTACTTTTAGGGGTTCCCTTTTCGTTGGTTTACAGGGAAACTAAAGGAAACCAACCGCTTCATATTCAGAGACGTGAGGACCCGGAAAGAAGCTCTCCTATGAGGGGGGTGAGGACTGTTATTCCCCCGAGTTTCTGGGCCTAAGACATCCTCAAGGTTACCCGAGCTAGATGTGGTGTAAAGGAAACCACGGATCCCAAACGAGATTGTGAGAACCCCTCGAAATGTTCTCTTTAAGAGACTGAGGAGAATGCTGACCCGCTTCGAGCCCCTCCAAAACCAGGTGAAAGCTCTGTCACAATCAGCGGCTCACTATCTATGGCAGATTTCAGCAACACACATGTTGCACGCAAAGCACGAACACGCACACCTTTGGATCTGTGGCCTAGAACCAGGTCCAAAGATTGCATGAACAGATCTTGACACGGCGAGGTCTTCTGCTCTTAAGCATCGCATCAATCGCTGGGTTCTTTCAATCGGATCGAAAGGCGTGCGCAAGACAGACTCAGAAAGTTTGCAATCCATGAGATTGGGGGAGGCCCATGTGCATCTTGGCCGCAATCCTGCTAGCATCAATCCCCTTCACCTTGCAACCTCTCTTTGCTTTCCATTCAAAGGGAACTAGAGGCTGGTTGTTTAAACAGAATGCCACTCAGAGTGGGCCTTTGACGACGGCTTTACAGGTGAGCCAACATGCAACCGATCTGCTCCAGTACATGAATCATAATCAAAACCCGACAATTGCCTTCAGGGGTCAACCCACAACCCATTGCGCATAACTAGTTGAAACAACCCACCTTTTCAAACCTCCTTTTGCTTTTCTTGTCAAAATTCAATCCTTATCCCCCAGACTTGTCCCCCCACCCCCAAACCGATCCTGCAGCCCCAAACAACCCTTTTTTTCAACTCTTCTGCAAGTCACCTCGGCTATTGCGGAAGTGACCCGTCCTTGTGCTCTACCGAAAATAGTGAGCGACACCGCTGCGCGCTACAGAAATCGAAGCGGCAGTGCTCATCGCCAGCCTGGGCTCTGTGGCCACTGCTGGCTCCAGTGCACGAAGCTCGGGGCACGACCGCCGTGCGACTCCAGCTGGTAGGCTCCCACGGAGCCACTCATCGATGGCATGCAAACGGGCAGGGGGCCACTACTAAGACACATCCCAGCCAGCCTTGGATGACCGTGCTGGCTGGGCGGGCGAAGCGAGAATGAAAAGGGATCTGGTGGGGCCCGCAAAAGAGTCTTGATCATGGCTGCAAACCACTGCGCACGCTGTGTGTATGTGGTTTGTACCAAGCCACTGTTCGGGGATTCAAGAGGGTTGCTCCACCGTTGACCTTTTGCTTTGACCGGTCCCGGGTGCCCGGTGGCAAGATTAAAGTCCGCATACAGCTGGACCCAGCTCACCAGTTTGGGTGGGTGCCCCGGGCTGCTTGCCTGACGAAGCCATGCATGGACCTGTTGCATAATTGCTCGTCCAAAGAGTGAGACCGCGTGCGGGTGCAGCTGAGCTGGGACCTGACTAGGCCTAAACACTGCCATTTCCTGAGCAGAGGCGGGTATCGCAGTGAGTTCGTTCAGTTCGTTCTCAATGGCGGGCTGGGTGGTGCGCGCGTGAATGGAAATTTCACAAACTCGCACTATGTGACCATGGAGTGCCTCCCGGACTTCACGCAGATGCCGCAGTTCAGCACGCAAGTTGGCATGTGTTGACAGCTGCTGAGGGTGTCTCTGCTTGTTCACCCTGCTAGCCAAGGAATCTACCGCTGCACGCTGCGTTTCCTCGGATGGCCCATGCTTCCCAATCAGAGTCTGCCTCCTGCAGATGGGAGGTGACTTTGACTATGACTGGGTCGACGCCAAGTTCACAAAGTTGCGCTACCTGCTGGTGTAGCGCGTCCCAGAGATCGGCATCTTTAGCCTGGCTCGAGCAGCTATAGGCAGGGCTTGAAGGGCTGCAGTTGCCTCGGCTCGCCCTGTAGTCTGCACTAGACCTGCCAAGTGGCCTGCGGCCAGAGGTATTGCATGATGGGAGGGAGGCACGAGGCCCATGCTGCCATGGCGATGTCTGGCTCCCGCGGGGAGGCACAGCTGCCATCAACAAACAGGTGAATCATCAGTGGGCGCAGGGTGTTGCGCCTGCTCAAAGAGAACTGGGATTTGGGCCAGTTCGGCTTGCCACGCTTGCTGGCTGGGTGCCTGTGGGATCCACCCATGCAGGCGTGTGCTGGGCGTACACTGGGCAAGAAATTGGTTTATGTCCCTCGCAATGCACTCTCTTGATGTGCGAGTGCGTTCGCATTGCCACAGTCGATGCATCAGGCTATCGGCATTCGGGCAGAAAGGGCATCGCCCGTCCAAGTCTGGGTGCGCATGCTTAAGCATGTCCATGGTATACCCAGTACCATTTAATGCGGCACGAAGGAGTCCTCGCTGTTGAGGCTCCCAGGACTGAATGGCTTGAGTGGTAAGCACTGGATCTGCCTCCGTTAAGCCCTCGAACGTCGGCCGGTGGGATACACGTGCACCTGCTGCGCGTTGCCATGCCCGGCTGAGTTGCTTGCGTACTTGTTGGATGGGGGCATCCATTAGGTCGAGGGGCGGCTGCAAGGGCAGCACAACTTGAAGACCCTCAAGGACAATGCCACCTACACTACGCACACGCTCAGCAAGTGCCCCACTCGGGCCTTGCGGGTACTTGGCGCCCGAGGACGCTATGGCTACCAGGCGGTCACGCGTGGGTTTTTTTCAACCAGACTGAGTTGGAGTTGACTGCTGCTTCCAACTTTGTCGAGGCGGAGTCCTCTCATTGCCCCGGCGCGTAGGCTATCGTAGTGATGGCCCGACGCTTGCCCCTGAGATGCCGCGCAGGGCTTGCGGCCAAACTGCTACTCGGAGGGCACGTAGCTTGGCGGCAGTATTAGCCCGACTACGTTTAAGTTTGGCCCACAGTGGTGCTACACTTTTAATCCTGGCTGTGATGGTGCTATTGCCTCGGTGGCGGCTGTACTGGAGGTGTCCACCCAGGTCCCGAGCAGCAAGCTCTACCGGATATCCTGCCTGCCTGAAATGGCTCCTTTCTGGGACCACAAATACGTCTTGGCTTTGTCCAAGGTGAGTTGCAGTTCGTCGGCAAACGTTTGGACTGCTGCGGCAGCTTGAAGTGTGGCTTCGCCTGCTCGAGTGACAACCTCTAGGTTGTCAACGTAGCTGAGAGGTCTAGCGACTGGACAGGACTGCCGTATCCATGCCGCACACACGAAATCGGCAATCAGCATGGCTGCACAGCTGAGGGCACAGCCCTCAGCAAAGCCTATTGTGAATGACAGGCTTGGGCCAATGGAGCCCCTGGCATGAAAGTGTCTGCGCATTGTGGTCAAAGCCCCACAAGCCAACTGTGGACAATTGGTGCAAACCGATTTCCAGCAATGGCATCCTCGGGAGCTCATTGAAGCATTTGACTACGTCGCCAACAACTCCTCAGGCTGGTTGTTGCTGCTCATAAGCTTGCTCAACTACATCTTGGACGAGCCTCCACTGGTCCGTGGCTGAACGTCCTGGCAAGCATCCGTAGGCGGATGGGTCTGCGTTCTGGGCAAGGAATCGAATGACCTGGCGTGCTCTGATAGAGGTGTAGGTCCGATAGACCAGTGAAAAGAGGGTCACTGGCCTGTAGTGGTTGACACTGGAGGCCTGTGGCGTTTTTGCCAGGGAGTGGACGTGTCCTGCAAGCGGCTTCGTCGGCCATACTCCGGTCTGCTCTGCTCGATGCAAGATCAGAAGCAAAGAGTTGAGGATGGGCTCCGGCATTTGCAGCAGGTCCTCTCTACTTACCAAGTCGGGTCCGGTGGCGGAGAAAGCCTTCTTCGCTCTGACCGCTGCTCTGTAGTGATGGGCAAATAGGACATTTGCCGGGCGGGCAAGTGCTGTTGGGCGAAGGCAATGATGCGATTCCACACCTGGGGTGGTGTGTGTCTGTGCTTGTCCCACCTAGCGATCCACTCCTTGCCAAAGGCCGCAAAAAGGTCCTCCAAGGTTCCAACGGCGTGCGTTTGCGCCACATGTGTGCCTTCCGTGCCACGCTGATAACCAGAGTTTGTCTGGTTCTGCATGCAGGACCTCAAAGCTCTCCCCGGCTATAACGACCGGCTGACTGGGCTCAAATTGGGCAGGTGGCTGAAGCTCAATGGCATCCAAGGCGACAACTTGGGTCTGAGTGTGTTGCAGGAGAGCTTCAACCGGCTCCGGGCGGGCCGCCTTGAGATCTCGGAAGATGAGGTTGGGATTGCTCTCATGTCGCTGCTTGCTACGTTTACTGTGGTAGGCACGCAAACTTTGCTCCAAGGCGCGTACTACGTGTTGGAACACACAGAAGATTGTCTCTGCCGTACATGCATCTGGTGGAAGCACAGGAATGCGTGGGCACACTTGAGTCCAATCCTCATTGCTCGTTTCCCACCAAGTTCCAAAGCCTTGCTGGAAACCTGGCGCATGGAGGATGGAGCGCCAGAGCTGCCTCTGGTGTTCCTGGTGCCCTTGCCTACGGTGAGGTGCCTTGGCGGCTTGGGTGTAGCTTTGCAGCCGCCGCAGTTGCTTAAGCCACATTTTATGTCGGTGACTATGCCCACAGAAATTTGGCTGCGCCTCTCCTGGTCGAGAGGGTCTGAGCGGCGCGAAGTTTTCCCTACGGAGGCTAGTGCGTCACCTCTGCCTCGTTGGGCTGCCTTGAGCGGGGGCAGTGCCAACTGGGCGCATCGGTTGGCAGCATGCTCCTCCAAAGCCTGAAGCACCTGGCGGTACTGTTGCGATGCCACTTCCTCATCGTCTGCCATTGTGACGTGGGGAAGTTCACAATGTATGACGTCCGTTGGGTTTTGTTGGTCCTGAGCTGGCGACAGTTTATCCCA